CCAGAAGGCTTTAAGCTAGTTGCATCATAAATACCATTAATACTCCAAAAGGTCCTCAGCTTTTCCTCAATATTATGCTGAGTGCCATCCAACCTATAGGCCCATCATCTGGCATTATATCAACAATCACTTTATCCATGTGTTTTTCTTGGTAAAATACAGGAGTGGCTTACTATTGCCTTCTCTCACACAGTAGGAAATGATGTAAAATAATCATTTCTAGCAAGTAGAAGAAATTTGAGATTTTCTAGCAAAGAAAAACGAGCAGAGTCAGGACATAGATAAATGCTGCGAGATTTTATTTAGGTTTCTTGTAAATGTAGATCAACTAAAGCACTGTTTTATGGTAATGAAAGGAAGATTTTGCAACATATAAATTCTTGATTAGTAGTAATGAATAGCTTTTAATCTTGGCGCTGATGTATATGTATCTTGATACTTCTGACCTAAACAGAGGGGAAGTGCACTCATAAGGGATATAAATATTTTACCATTTTAATGAAGATGGGGCTGGTAACTACTTAAGAAATTTTAAAATATATATCAGAAAATATTTTTCTATGGTTCTGTACAATCATTCTTTATATTGATTTCCTAAGCATAGCATGAAGCTATAAGGTATAGTAACAGATTTAACTGTACTGTATCTTTCAGACAGAACATTAAAATTGCATCTGTCAGATGCTGGCATTAGCATTGCAACTAAAATGCTGGTAACTAGGCAAAAAGTATGGAATACTTTTGATTGTTTTATTGAGAGCTATCTATGTTTTTAAAATATTGTATATGTGTAATCATGTTTCCAAACATTACCACATATGAGCCTAGAAGGATACTGTTGCTTGTATTCTTGTCAAAAGAGAGGTTTTGTAGTCTTCAAAAGAAATTGAATTTATAAAGCAAATAAACTTTGAAAGATACTGCATTTAGGAAGCATGTTCTCATTTCTTCTAGGTGTCTGTTACAAAACAGTTGTATTTCTTCATTTGTGTGTCTCATAGATATTTACAGGAATTTAGTAAAAAGTATGTTTGTTACTATGGAGATCTATAAGTTTGAGTTTGATGCAGTTATCAACCATTATTTAGGGCTTTCCATGACAAGTCATCGTACACAGAAGGTAAGAGGAGGAATAGAAAACTGAATGCTTTAGAATAGATAGAAGGCATGCCTGAGGTTGGGCTGCTATTGCTTTTCCTCTAGCCTCTAAGGGAGGCAGAAGCAGCATTGCTCTG